TTTAGAAAAATGTTAGTCCAGCTCTGCTGCTTTGGAGACAGAGTGGAAACAAACGTGAAGGAGCCTGCTCACCTCAGTCTCCAGGAGAAACCCCAGGCAGGACTGCAAGGCCAAGCACAGCAGATTGTGAGCGCCTGTATACCTCTGACAGCTGTGAAGCAGGGCCTGGCGAGCTGGTGCAAACCTAAGAGGCCCTTGAGACAGGAACATTTTTCAATTTTTAAAAGGTTATTTGAAAAAAATAAAAGTGAAGAATATGCAACAAAGACTAGGGGTGTGACCTACGAAGCCTAAACTACTTGCTAAGTAGCCCTTTATGAAAGTATGCTGCCTGCATGAGTCAGCCTTCACCACTGTAACAAAAGCCTGTGATAGTCAGCTTAGAAGGAGAAGGGGCCATGGCGCTCAGAGCCTTCCTTCCCTGGTCATCTGTTTTGGGCCTGTGACATGGCAGCAGTCATGGCCGAACAAAACCAACCACTTTGTGCCTGGTGCAGAAGACAAAAATCAGGGACTCGGGCCCCACAATCAACCCCAGAGTAAGCACCAGAGGCTGAAGACCTCCCAGCAGACTCCGCCTCCTCACGGGCCTGCCTGCCAGAAAAATCTGACCCAAGGAAGTATGTAGGCAACAGCGAGCGCTCTCCTAGTTCAGAATCCGGTTACTGTCCAGGGGCAACAGAAAGGGCCAAGCTTTGGACTTAAAGAACTTAAACATCAGAATTTCACTTACCTTCTAGATTAGTTTCAAGATGAGTTTTCTACCAAACCAGGAATCCTGCCTGCCGGTGTGTTTAAAGTATTCTATTCAGGGAGCCCGTCGTCATGCCGGTGTCTGCAGCCACGAGGCGTGTTCCTACAAGGACTTGGCAGTTGGGCGCAGCACTGGTGCACCGTGAAAGGGAAGACCACCAACAGTTCTGTGTTCCGTGATGTAGAGGTGGAGTGAGATGGCAGAGGAGAAGACTGGAGTCATTTCAGGGCTGGCCGAGGGGCAGTTCTGTTTACTCAGAGAACAGAAGAATCTGGACTGGCAGCTGGGAGAAAGGCTTGCCAGAAAGGTGCCTTCTGTTTATATCTTGGTAGCCGGAAACGCTTACATTCCGCAGCTGTGCCCGGCGCTTCTCCATTTTAAAGCTCCAGGGACGTTCTCAGCATGTTTTACAGCCTGTGTAGGGACATCACCGTGAAGACAAGTGTGGGTTTGCCCCTGTAACTTTTGCACATTTCCCCCGAACTGCTGGCCTAGGCAGTGCTTGGCAGCTCAGGTGTCAGGTGACACATGCTGCTGTGACTTGCGGCCAGTGTCCTGGGGGGCTGCACTCGCCCTGCTTTCCCCACCTGTGTGCTCTGGTGTGCCGAATCTCGCTGAGCAGAGGCTTGCGGTTTACACTCAGGCCGACCTGAGGTCGCTTTCCTTGTGAGGAGCATGCAGCGCCTAGCAAGAACCTTAGGAAGGCAAGCTGTGTTTTTCAAGCTTTAAAAAAAATCAGCTTTAGAATCCTGTGTGGGAACGTGCAATGCGGTAGCACTGCCTTGAGCGAGTTGTCTGTCTGTCTTGTGTCTGTGATGCTGAGTTCCTCTTTCAATCAGCATAGTGTGAGTGACCTCAAACTGCTGTTACTGAAGTGATGATCTGCAGTTACAAATTTAAGAAAACTACAGAGCATCTGTATGTATGTTTTTTGTTTCACTGATGTTTTCCATTTAAAGTAAGAATATTCCTTTCTACGTCTGGCAGCCTCATGATGCTCACAGGGTCGAGAATCAATAAAATTAAGGCTCATGCAGTGGCGCGTAGACTCGGTGCTTCCTTGTGATTTCAACACATGTCTGTCCTTTGACTTTTCGTAGGAGAAGAATTACTTAAATTTGAGCCTAAATTCAGTAAAATGAGAACAAGCTTCCTGTGCCATGTGCCGGTTGTGCGTCCAGGGAAGCCCAGTGTGGGGCAGGCACTCCCAGGAAAGGGAGAAGCCTGTTCTCAGACACGCACTTTGGTCGAGTACTGTCACCTGAGTAGCGCTGCTTTGGCACAGTGAAGTGGAGTCAGGAGGCCATTGCAGTCAAATCTCAGCCACGTCCACAGCTGGACTTCTAAACTGGGCCAAACCGGTTTACTGAAATTCTGCAGATCACTGGTGGTGTGCACTACAGGACCAGGCATAATTTCCAGCTAACCAGTGATGTCCTTTCCCATCTCTTTGGCAGCTACTGCTGTGATACAGCTGCCATTGTGTAAAATCTCAAAGTGTATTTTCACAGCCTCCTTAGTCTTTTCCTGGATTGCAATCTTTGTTCGCCCCAAATAAATGTAATTTTTCTTCTCAACTAGGTTGGTTTTATTCTCAGGCACCACTGCTACAGGTGGTCGCCACAAGTGCTGACTTTGTGTCATTTTGCACCCAGAGCTAACCTGAGAGTGTTTGGCCAGTCTCCAGAGGACTGTTAATCTCATTTCTAGCAACTGAGAGAAAAGATCAAATTAGAAGCGGTGTGCTGTCAGCTGTTTTTAAAACATCGAAACAGGCTTCTGTGGAGGAGGGCGGTGGGCCCCAGCATCCCTGAAAATAGAAGGCAGGCAGATGGGAAGGGAGAGAGCAACTGCTGCAGGGCCAACAGGAATACAGAGCCGGGTGCTTGGGAGGAAGGGACAGGCAGGAGCCGGGCAGGGAGGGTGCTCAGGGTACTCCTGCAGCACAGCTTGCTTCATTTTGAGCCATTTCAACAATACATAAATAGGACTTTGTGCCTGAAGGTTAATACCTTAAAATATCTACAGTGGCTGACAATGTCTGCATCTTTATACCATTCATTAGAATGAAATGAAATGTCTATCCAAAGGCCAGAAATGCTCACTTACAAAAAGGCATGATTCTGGCTGTTTGCTTTTACTCTTTCTTCAGTTTTCCCTCTGTGTGGAATGTACTGCAGATCTTTCGGTTGCTGGTGGCCAGGGGCCTTGTTTTGTTTTCTTGTGTTTTATTTGATTGCAAAATGGTTTGCCTGAGTTGTGGCGCTCACTGATCTGAAAGCAGAAGAGTTGATGTCTGTCACCTTTGTCAGGGTTAGAATGTCTCCTTTTAGTGAGGGCACCAGAAGACAAAGGGCTGCCCTGCTAATCCCAGGCACAGTGTGGCAGATTCAGCCCATTTGGAAACATGATAGCCTTAGGCATCTTAGGGCCACCCCACCCTGTCTGGGAGCTGTTGGGCTCAGCCTTCTCTCTGCCTCCTCAAACAAAAGCACTGTGCGCCTGTTGATGTGCTTCCTTCTGTTTTTAGCACTTCTGCCCCCCTAAACATACACAGACCCTATGCGGCCTCTTTCCATTAATACATCCATTAGGGTTGGCCAAACCTGCTGCAGGGGAAACGGGGACACTCCAGCCTTTGATCTTTGCCCCTTGCCCTGGATCCTGTTTGGCTCCAGACCTGGGCTCCAGACTTCACGGCCACTTGACTGCTTCTCTCAACAGCCTTCGTCTGTGGTGTGGAAGAGAGCTAAACAAGAAAGCAAGGCCTGCGGGGGCTGTCTGCCCAGAGAAGTCCAGAGGCCCCGTGTGGAACGCGGTGCTGATGGGCACAGAAGACAGGCTTCTTGTCTAAACACATGAGCTCAGTGACATGAAGGAGAAATGGGACTTTTCCTCCTGTCCAGCCAGTCCTCAGATAAATGCCCCAGGTATCGAGTTCCTTTGCTGGCACACTGGGATTCCAGTGGCCCCTGTTTGATGGAAAGGGGAAAAGGTGGCCCATGGAATGAATGTCAAAGGACAGAGGAGGACCTTTTTAATTCCCAGTGTGGCACTTTCATGCTTTTCTTTTTTTCCTTTTGTCCTCAACACTAGAGATGCAATCTAGAGCCTTTACATTGGGCTACAGCCCAGGCCACTTTTTTACTGTGAGACAAAGTCTTGCTAAGTCACCAAGTTGCTCAGGCTTAGAGAGACCTTTTGCTCATCCTGCCTCAGCCTCTAGGTGTCACTGTTTAGTCCTAGACAGTACCTGCGTTCCTGCTGTTCTGTCAGGTTTATCATAGGCTATGTGAGACCTCCCTCTCACCCTTGTTCACCCTCCTGATGGTAGAGTTTGTAGTCAGCAGTTCTGAATCGTGCTGTTCTTGCCTGCAGTTGCTCAGGACTCTCACCACAGCCCAGATTCAGTGCTTTCTCTGGAGATTTCATCTTCTCCACCTGCATAAACTTTATTCCACGGGTTTCAGAGACACCTGACATTTAACAGATTCCACTCAGCCTTTTATTCTGCTTGGTTATGCCAGCACAAGAGAATTTTCTCGAAGTTCCTGGCTGTTCTGCTGTGGTTTGTGTTGGTCCCCAAAGTTAGAAACTTGGTCCCAACACTACTGTATGGAGCAATGGGGCTTTTAAGAGGGGCTTAGGCCATAGCAAGGCTGTAGAGGCCACTCACCCTTCCCTCCCCATGTGCCCCATCTGTCACACAGCTCCTTCCACACTGTGAGAACACAGTCACCAGATGCATCCCCTTGGTCTGGGGCTTCTCAGCCTCCAGGACCACAAGCTAAATAACCTTCAGTTGTTTACAAACTCTTCAGGCTGTGATACTCTGTTGCAGTACAGAAAACAGACTATAGTGTCTACACAGTGTTGCAGTTCTTAGAATTCTCCCCAGTGTTCTGTGGTCCCCAGTAGGTCATTGTCGCCTGAGATGCTGCACATCAGATGTCTCCCAAAGCCGCATGCAGTCATGGGGAGGGGCTTATCAGAGTGGGCTGGATCTGGAGCCTGTGACCCTGGGGTCAAGGATGCAATACAGTGAGGGGTGAGTGCTGCCCACCCTCATGGGGGGGGTAGCCTGGATAAAATATAAGGGACAGAAAGAGGCCTGCTTGTCACTTGCTGCTTCTGCTTCTGTTGCTGCTGCTTGTCTTCTGTGGATCACTCTGCCACGCCACCCTGCCTTGGAGCCAGCTGACTATGGACTGAAACCTCTACCAACTGTCAGCCAATAACCCTTTCCTCCTCTAAGCTTTGAGGGTCAGGGACGTTACCTCAGCAGCGAGGAAGTAACTAAGACACTGAGGCATCTCTGACCTACCCTGAACGCGGGTCAGACAGGCCCTGGGCGCACTTTCTCTATTTGTACACCCAATAAGTAAAGCGCCTTCGCTACAGTATTGTGTAAATATTTATAATTCAGCAAAATCTGTTCTCCATCAAGTCACCTCTTTAGGCATCTAGAATTTGTGAGATCTTTTTTAAAAAAAGTTTTCATTTGCAGTCTTTATTGTTGTTTCCAGGTTGGAGAGTTTTACCCAGTTTTAAAGCCACATCCAACCAATAAAATAAAGCCTCATCCGGTGTGGACTGTGTATCAGCCCGCTCGGCGGCCAACTCTGGGCAGCCTTTGTTCTTCCTGACAAAAAGCCTAAGGAAGCCTTGTGCTGTATAGCTCCATTTAGAAAACCTTAGGAGCACAGAGTTCACACCAGCAGTTTTCTTTTTTTCTTCTTAACCCTTTCAAGCTTGAACAAAAACCTAGAACTAGACAGTGATCAATGGAGCCAAAGTAAACGGACGTTTTCCAAAGTTCAGCTTAGAGAAAATAATTCCTAAATATTTATCTCACTTGAAGCATAGATGTAGATTTATGTTTTTATTCTAAATTGCCCTTAAAAGTGAATCGCGGGCCGGCCAAATAGCTCAGTGGGTTAAAGCGCCTGCTTAGGCAGACACAGAGTTTGATCCCTGGCTTGTCATGCAGGCCCCGCCCCTGGGGCGCAGTGAGATGGCAATTGAGACTGGGTGTGGTGGCGCGCCTGTAATCCCAGCACTTGGGAGGCTGTAAACAGGAGGATCACTACAAGTCTGATCTATGCAGTGAGACCCTGAACACACTGTCGACCGTGTCCTAAATACAAAAAAAAAAAAGTCACGTTTTATCCCCCTGAGAAAGTACCAAATGTAAGGGGCTGGGGTCAATTTGACCCATCAAAAGGAAGAATTTCTGTTCAGCAGATGTCATGCTGATACATGGGTGACATCCTATGCAGGCATCTGCAGTACCCAGAAGTGGGAAGGGCTATGTGTACATGTCATATGGCTTCTTACAGATCAGTGAGGAAAAGGGAATCCAAAAGGAAAAATGCTATGGCTGTTAGCCAGCGATTCCCAAAGCGAACTGCGGAGTCTAAAGGTGGGCACTGGGGCAGCAGTAGCCCATGTACTGGCGGAGGCGGTGCGAGCTGCTGCAAGCACCATGGGGGGCGAGCCAGCAGCATGCTCAACGAAGCAGCGCCTGCATGCTGAGGTCAGGAGGGCTGCTCGTGTGTGTTCCCAGAGTCCTACAAGGGGCTGCAGGTGGACAAACAGAAGGGCACTCTGCACAGTGAGTTATGAGGCAAGCAAGGCCTTGGATAAGTAAAAGGTGGCATTGCACCCATGGAATACTGCACAGCTGTTAGCAATGAACGAGATACCTTCAGTGAGGTGGATGGGTCTTCTAATAGCTTTGAATGCTTAAGAAGTGAGAGTTGTGGCTTAATGGCATTTGTGTAAACATAAGCTTACCATGTGTCGCAGGATGTGTGCATTTGAATGTAGCAAGTACATGAAAATGGGTTACTGGGGACACAGTATCTATAAAAGGAGGACAGAAGAGCTGCTGACCTGCTAGTAGAGAAGTAGCCTTGTCCACAGCCCACCTGGGCTGGGGCAGTGGAGTAGGTTGTGGAGCCTGAAGAAAATTCTGAGAGATGGTGTTGAGGTTTACTAAGGCCCTGTCAAGGAGAGAATGGGCTCAGTGAGACTTCATAAAAGGATAAGAGTCCAGGGGCCACCTGGTGAGGGGCTTATGGTTCAACTCCAGATTAGCCATTCATGAGCCTGTGATGCTCTCGTGTGTGAGCCGCATTCTAAGGAGCAGCTGCCCTAGCACATGAGCAGGACAGAGGTTTGCACAGAGTTTCCCCAATTACTAGTGTCCTCACTGGTCTGGGCACGGTTGGGAGTGTCCCTTGACTTGGAGTTTAAGAAATACAAAGGGATTGCTTCAGGGACGTGGTGCTAAGTGCCCTACATTGTTCTCAGGGACAATGCAGGGGACCTAATATGCCCAGGTCTTTCTTTTTTTTTTTTAATTTTTTAAATTTATTTATTTATGTGTGTGTGTGTGTATCCAGCTCAGCCCACCAGGGGGCGGGGCTGGCTGGCATGTGGTGCTGGGGGATTGAACCGCTGTCCCTGTGCTTTGCTAAGCTTGTTCTAAGTAGGTGCTTTAGACCACTGAGCCATCTCACCAGCCCGTCTTTCTTGAGTTTAGTGGTGAAAGCCTCACACCCAGGGAGCCCTGAGTACGGGGCTGATGTGAGTGGCTGGTGATCACAACCCACCCAGTTGGCTCACACTCAAGGCTCTTGTGTGAGGATGGAATCTAGGGGGGATTCATGTGTCAGTTTCCATGTGGCTTCCCCAGGTCTGATGCACAGTAAATGCTCTGTCCACATCTGTAGGATAAAAGAACAAGGGAGGAGCCCTGCGGGGGAGCTGAGAACTGAGGGGCGTGCTGCACGCCAACTCTACTGTCTGCCCTGGACGGGCAGCAGGAACTAAACTCCAAGCTTCATGGGTGGGAAAGAAGGCCCTTCTGATGCAGAATCATCCTCACAGCAAAGTGATGGCTTCTCAGGTTGCAGACATTATTCTGAGCACCTCTACACCCTCATAATCCCCAGACGACAATACCATGAGGAGATGCTGTGAATGCCCTCACTTTATAGGTAGAGGAGACATGTGCATTACACAGCCTCCCCTGAGGTCAGGAATGCAGACTTCAGGTGTCACAGGACACTTCTAAGAGGCTGTGGAATACTTCCATGCCTCTTCCAGTGCTGCTCATGACTGCCATTCCTTAGCTTCTAGTTGCAAGGATTGGCTTCCATCCTAAGGACATCATCTTAACTTGATGGTACTTCCAAATATCATCACATTCAGAGGTAACAGAATTAGAGCTTTAACATCTTTCTGGGTGCACAGGTCAGCCCCTGATAGGAAATCTTTTTTGACTGAGCTCTGGCCCTTCTCTGTCCCCCTGAGGTATCTTTTCATAGTTTTTGTTGTTGGAAGCATCTGTTCATGTGCCTGTCACCCACCTGCCGTCCCACCTCCAAGGCTCCCTGGGAACAGAGACCACATGCCATCTTTCTTTGTCGCTGTGACCTCACACCCTGCACCACTGTGAGATCATAAGTGTCCCAGGAAAGCAACACAGAAGTCAGAAAGTCTGGCTGTGACCCAAGTTGAAAGACCTGTTTGAGCCCCTTCCCTGTCATTTCAAACATCCTCGAAGTCCTTGTACTTCACTCGGCCTCGGTCTCCTCTCCTACAAAGTGTGAAACCAGGACCTGTCCCGAGTCCCTCACAGAGAGGCTGGGACGCTGCGAATCTCCTGTGTGTGATAGTCATCAGAGCTATAAATGACCCTCAGGAGAACAGGGTTCATTGCTGTGACACTTCTCCACCCCAAGAGTTTATGTCTTGGTCCATTTTGCTTGGCTCAGGGACCCAGTTGCTTCCTCAGCTCACTGTTCCTGGTAGGACAGTTTCCTCACAGGCCCAGGCCACCAGGCTCCTGCAGCTGAGGCTTGAAGATGGCACCACCTAGTGGCTTTGCCTCCACCTCCACACACTGCCCTTCAGAGGTCATTTGTCATTTGGGACACAGTCATTGCACAGTAGAAGTCCCAAGAAGTGCTTCACCTGCCCCTCACTACACTGGGCAGGAGAGAAATAGATGAGGCAGAGACCTTGTCGCCTGGATGCATGTGCGCGCGTGCGTGTGTGTGCACGCTCGCTGTGGTGCCCTCACCAGAGCAGAGGGAGAGCTATGGAGGGCATGGGACACATCAGACCGGGCCCTCATACACACCTCTCCTGCGGTGAGGACCAGTGGGGTGAGGCACTCGTGGCAGGCTGGCAAGAAACCACTCCACCCTAAATCATGAACTGGAATAGGATCTCTCTCATGTCCTGTGGCTGTACCAAGGACTCATTGACCTGAAAAGCTCCCAACAGAAATTTACTCTTCCACTGTCCTGGGGCCTAGATGTCAAAATCTGAGGTGTCTGCAGAGCCATTCTTCCCCTCAAGACTCTAGAGAAAAGTGTTTCCTGCCTTTTCCCGCTGCAGGGGCTGCCAGCATCCCTGTGCACCTTGTGTGTCTTCTGTGTCTCTCCCAAGGACACATCATTAACTTAGGGGACACCTTAATACGATGCAATCTCATTCTGACATCTTCAGAGACAGACTTGGCTTCCAAACAAAGTCACACTCGCAGGAGACGGAGCCTCATCATGGCTTCTGGGGGACGAGTTTGACCCACAATGGCAGGTGTCCATGTCCCGAGCGTCTTCCAAGCAGCCATGGTTCTGGTGACAAATGGCCAGCTGGTGTCTCATGAGCCTCCTTGCAGATTCAGGGCAGACAGGGTGAGACATAGTTGAATGCGGCATCACAGATTTCAGCACGCGTCTCCCAGCCACTGATAGATCAAGAAACAAAAATCACTTTAGCTCCCATGCTGGAGTAACACACTAAGCAGAGTCTAACACAGCAGATGTTTGCGGAGCACTTACTTTTCAAACACACTGCTGGTCTGCAAATGGCAGCTTAATTTTTGAACAGTTTCATACAGACCGCTTTTCCTGACCAAAATCTCAGGTTAGAAACTGATAACAAAAGATAACTTCTCTGAAAATTGAAGAGTTGAAAATTTTAAAGTACATTTTTAGATAACTCATAGAAGAAGACATTTCAGAAATTAGAAAATAACTAGAACTGAGCAGGAGTAAGACAACCACATCTCAAGACATACTGGAGACAATAAGTAGAACATTTGTGGGCTTAAATGTATAAGTTAGAAAATCATAAAAGATAAAACAGCTAGGCAGGAAAGGGACAGCAGAATAAATTAAAAATAAGTAGAAAGAAGCAAAAAATAACCACAGAAGTCAAGGATCAGTAGAGCCCAAAGTCAGTTCTGCAAGAAGACTGATAAAAAGGACAAATTACAGCCAGATTGTTCAAAGAAAAGGGGGGGAAGCACACTTACGAGAATAAAAGAGATAACTATACATATAGCAGATATTTAAAATATTAGAATATTTGTGAATATATGCATGAAAACTGTTTGAAAACACACAACATGAACAAAATCCTATATAATTGCCACCTATCAAAACCAACTCAAGAATAAGAAAATTAAATGGTCCTACATTCCTGAAGAAATGAATTATCTAAAATCACAGTGTAGAGGCCGGGGA